CCAGGATGGGAGAGAAGGGCTTTTTAGGATCTGGTGTGAAAATTGAACAAGGGGCGTGGCACCGCACACCTTTAAGTGAAATTCTATATCTCAGGAACTACTCGACCGATTTCAACCAAATTTGGTGTGTGAGGTTACCCAAACATTCCTATTAGACACTGCGAAATCAAATGACAACCACGGCTAATTCCCATATAACAAACTTCCGTCTGATTTTTTCACTTTACAGCATACAAATCAAACACCAACAAAGTTATCAGAATAAAACTTTGGACAAATAGTGCCCTCAAGGTATTTCATCTAACGTCCAAAACTTGTCGAAATCGCACTATAACTTGCGCCAAAAATACGTAAGCGCATGTCAACACTTCCCTTAGCCCCCATGTACCTAACATAAATATTTTCGAACATCTGGTTCACTTTATACCGCAACTATCGGTCAATATATTATATAAAAAATATTAATGAAATTCAGATAGCATCTTTTTCTAATAACAGTTTATGCTTTTTCCTTAAATGAATGAAATCACGGCGATACTTTCTTTAGTTTTAAAGGGGGAAATTGCCTAATTGTAAAACAATTTGTAACTAATCTTGAATTTGAAAACTCAGTCTTATTATACAATATTTCTAAAAATAATACATTGAAAATTCAAGACCAAATAAAAACAAAAAAAGTTTCTATCATCATTTGAACATAAAGTGTGTAAGAACGGACGAACAAAGTTGTATGGCTTGAAAAAATTACTGATAATAATTAATTAATATCGACAACTTTTATAGAACATAGAAGTACGCATGTTTAATGTTTTATAATATAAATAATAATAATAAAAAATTTGTGATTAATAAAAAGACATCTGTAATTCCAAAATGTCATAATACATATTTAAATAACACAATAATATTTATTTAAATATCACATAATTCAAATAAGGAGTTTAATCCGATTAAGTTATTGCCTTCGTTAACTTTGTTATAATCATGAAGTATTTTCCGATCCAATGCTGCAGTTCCAACAATACAATACATACATATATGTATGTTTATACATATGGTAAATAACACAGCAATATAACTGCAGTAGATGCTGCAACAACCAAAGGGACAGTTAATCGACTTTCAAAACTGCACTAACAATAAAAAGTACCTGTTTCATATCCCATAGAGTATAAATAATTGATGCTTACAACACAATGTATGTTTAAAAAACCTATATTTTCGGCAAAAAAAACAAAAACAACAGTGCAACATTGCATTGCTATACATATAAAAAAATCTTTACATCAAAATGCAACATACACATATAACCGAGTTTATTACTTTGATGTCGAACACATAAAGGCAAGCAGAAGAAGAAGAAGAAACACACATTTTCAATTCAATTTCTCGTTTCCATCCAATACTACGCAAAGAACAAACTCTAGCGAGGAAATTTAAGTACACATTAAATATCGCAGGATACTCTAAGAACAAGCAGGTAAAATGCGCCTGCGCACATTACACAGCAAAATGCTCGCACCCAAGCAAGGGCGAAATGGCAGTGATATCGTAGGAAGACAGGTAAGCGTGTAACAGCTATTGGCTGCTACGCATAGCGGCACATTTAGATAGCGCTGTTGACCGCCAAGCCAAGCGATCATTTGATACGCACAAACACATACACGGTCACACACACAATAATCGTATAGAATCCACATGTGTGCGCCACGGTGTGAGTCGGGAGCAGGGGGTTTTACAGCTATGACGATTCAGTTTGCTGGAATTCAGAATTATATGCGAGTTCGGTGTATGTGTAAGATATAATACCGACACACCTTTGCCTTTGACGATGTGCAGACATTCGTCCTAGCTTGGTATGCACATATGCGTATGTGTTGTTTTTGTAGAGTGCATTTTAAACATTTGCGCCTTGGCGTTTACAATTTCCACAAACACTTCACACAGCGCCGTTAGATTTTCATATTGGTTTTTTTATTCTTCTATAACTTCGTCACAATTCGCTTTGGTACTTATTATTGCTGCAGCATAAACATACAAACATAAGTACAACATTAAAATCATACGTATACTTATGTATATATGTAGAACCATACCGTAAGGACATATGTTTCGCAATGCTAGAATTTCCCTTCGAATATTCAAAAATACCAGCACTCGGAAGAATTGTGTATTTGACATATGGTAACGTTAGATGCATGGGCTTTACACAACTGTGATCCTGCGTATAAATAATAACAACGACTCTTCATATAGACACAAACAATGTGCGACCTCATGAGTGCCCCCAAAAATAGCGACTCCTCCACGTTATCCTGCGGGTTTTTGGCAGCTTGCCATTTCCCCTAATATAATATTTATGTACATACAAATGTATATACAATGTTCATATATTTTCACCCTCTTAAAAATTTAATATTTTATGAATTTTAAATTGCATTTATCTTCAATCGACAGCAGTCGCCACAGCAGCATATGTTCTACCTTATACAAATACAAATTTGCTACACTTTCCTGCCATTCATTTTCATATGCAATGGTGGTCTAATGAAGTTGCTGTAAGAAAAAATTTAAAGACAAAGCGATTCGGAAGGGAATTTCATTGACGATGATGGAGCCGGATATTATTTATTTAGCGGAACCAAATATACATACATATATGTATGTATGTACGAGTATGTATGTTTTCAGGAATTATCTCAAAGTGGATTTTTTTTATTAAGCTAGTGAGAGTTGCAATGAAATAGATGATTCATTACAGATAAGCATCTTTGTTGGGTCATTTTAATCGGAAGTATAATGATTAAAAAATACCACCGCGTTCTAATATGCGCATCTCAACGATGATCTTTGGTCTCACTAAGGAAGCGCGGTTAAATTAGAAAAGCTTAAAACTGCAAATAGGAATTTACTTCCTTTTTTTATCAATAGTACTTTTTCTGCACTACTTTCTTATTATTATATCATTTTATTGAAGTTTTGACTCCTAAACGCAATAACATAGAAAAAAATTAAATATTATTGGAGAAGAATTTGACACAGCACTAAAAATAAATAATAAATGAAAAACTTCAGAAAAATATTATATAACATTTTCATGACAGTCGATTCTACGAAAGCGAATCAAATATGAATGCAAAAAGCAGTTTATATAATATGTATAGACATATTTGCATACATACAATGTATAAGTTTATATAATAAGTTTGGACTTTTAACTTATAATTTTGCGTATTCGTTGAACATATTATTTAAAGATTTTTTATTTATTCAGAATAATTTACTCTAAAATGTCTTTGTCTTTTATATTTGAAAAAACTCGTATGTGTTTTTTTACAATGTATTTATAAAACCCTGCTCCTCTATACATTGTGGACTATCAAAAAGCTAAATGAAGGTCAAGGGTTTCATAAAGATTTGTACATGTTAGAGCTCTTGGTATTCGACTAATCGACTAACCGGATGGGGCCGTTATTCAGTTAATAATATTCGGTTTGAACTATCTGGATAGTCGTGTGTTGTCGACTATTTTAATAGTAAGCGTTCAATCAAAAAAACAAAACGGCAAAAATTAAAAAATCCTAGATTTCAGACAATGTTCATTTATTCAATAATTTGAAGCAGAGCAACGCAGAAGTTACGACTATTCGAATGGTACTATTCGGTTAATATACGTATGAACGGTTACAAACCGGATATTCGAATAATTGGTTTTCGGGTTATTCGAATTATTTTAATTTATAAAATATGAGGTATATCTTTTTGTTGTACATACTGCAAATGTATATACTATTTCGTGAAAGGGGAAATTACTAACTTATGTCTAAAGTAACTAACACAGGTTCTTACTAAATGATTCCAGAATATCATTTTATATCTAGACAACGGTGTACACGTGCATATAAGGAGAGGTGATGCTAACCAATTTAGAACAACCGCATGTGAATTGTCGCCGCATTCCAATAGAAAATGCATCATACGTATTTACTGGAAGCGGAAGTACCAATATGCAATCACAAACACATCAAAGCCAACAACCCTCGCTTTTAGTAAAAGAACAAAACAATATTACACATGTTCGCACCACAAACCCAACAACAAAAACGTCACACACAAAACATATGCATGACCATGCATTTGTATGTTTGTGAGCGATGAAGCTGCGGTATCAGCAGTATTTTGCCGATTGCAAAAGTTGTTTATTATATTTTATTCACGTGCTAATCATTGCACATCCATTTAATATAATTTTGTCAGCTAACTTGTTTGTCTCTTGTAAATAAAAATTTCCAGTTGATATTGGCTTAAATATACATATATAAAAAAATCTAATTGGAATTCATCCCGACAGACTTACCGATTTTGCCAGCGGCCTGCCCCATGACTGCTTTTATGGATATTTATTTAATAATTTATTTTTATCACACCATTAGCACTGGCATTACTATGCACAGTTTTATGTAGAAGGTATTTAACGTTAAAATTCTAGATTTATTATTCTATTTTCACTATTTTGTAAGATCTATTTTACAAATACGGAACCAGCACAAGAAACTAGAGATAACTTGGCATTTCATGCAGAGCTCTGTTGCGTTGGTAAATTTTTGGCTGCCGGAGCGCGGTAACGGCCGATATTAAAATTTTACTAACTCAGTGTTTTCACATCAAACAAAATATTTATAAATAATTTACTTACAAACAATTCTAAATATATTTCTAGTTTTTCTTTCATTATATACATATTTTTCAAAATATTAATAATATGCTAACAATATGAAAATATAATGTGCACTTATCTTAACACTAGAGCGAATAGGAGATATGCAAAATGATACAATAGGCTTTAATTTCCAGATACAGTTTAATATAATCATTATCAAGGAATAAATAATACTATTTTATTTTATTTGTCATCTATTTCGGTACTTTGAATTTTCGGTGGTAAGTCGAAGCTACATGTACAAAAAAAATATGAAACACAGCTTGGCTTTTATACAAATGCAACTTTGTGCTTATCGCCACACGCCACTCTCAATTTGACATCTTTACAAACGTCAATACGTTTTCGCAACAAGAAATAAAAGTTTATATTTTACTTAAATTAAATAATATTTCAATCATAAAATAGCATATCCAGTTATAAAAAACTAAAGTCGTGTTAAGCGGCTAATATAGAAACCATATTAAGTGCAGTGTTATTTGCGGAAGTAATTTGCAAAATTAAACAATGGCGGATCCACTAAGTCTGCTACGGCAATACAATATAAACAAAAAAGAAATTATTGAACGTGATAATCAAATAATCTTTGGCGAATTTTCATGGCCAAAAAATGTGAAAACAAACTATTTAAAATATGGGTAAACAATTTACGCCACAAATCTTTCTTTGCAAATAATAAATGCTTGATTTATATATTTAGTTCTGGCAAAAAAGGAGCACCACGCGAATATTACACGTTGGAATGTTTACTATATCTACTTAAAAATGTTATGCTGCAGCACTCGGTGTATGTACGACAATGTGCTGTAAGTAAAACACTTCATTGAATTTTTTTTATTTGAAATGTATAATCTTAAAATAACGTCAAAACAAATTCCAGGCCGAAGACATACCTGCTGTCAATCGTCCTGATCGTAAAGAGTTACTTGCCTACCTTAATGGAGAGAACTCAACTTGCGCCAGCATAGACAAAAGTGCGCCACTTGAAATTCCCACGCAAGTCAAGCGGCCCGCAGATGGAGATGGACCAGGTGGCGATTCACTCGCAAAGAAGGCACGCTTCGAAGAAACCCAAGTGCAAAAAGTGCGTGAACAACTGGCTGCACGTTGGGATGTCAACAAAAAAGAGACCACTGTCAATATCGACAATATCAAATCGCTCTCAGAAACGATGTCTGTGGAGAAAATTGCTGCCATCAAAGCGAAGCGTTTGGCCAACAAACGTACCACCATTAAACGCACTGACAATGAAGATGCGATGGCTACAGATTTACGTGCCATACTTGACTATGATGTAGATTCAACGAAACATATAATAAGCCGCGAGCGGCAGTGGCGAACGCGTACCACTATACTACAGAGTGCGGGAAAGATGTTTGCAAAAAATATATTCGCTATACTGCAAGGTATAAAGGCGCGTGAAGAGGGCAGAAATAGACCGGCAGCTCAACAAGCTATCAAGATGCCAGAACCGGCACGGATTGCGAAACCGCAACCACAGTTGACGCAGTACAATCGTTATGATCAGGAACGCTTCAACAGACAAAAAGAAGGTAAGCAGTTGTGTATTTACATATATACTTTGGTTTGTGTTCAAATTAATTGTTGAAATTTTTCAGAAACGGAGGGCTTTAAAATCGACACACTGGGTACTTACCATGGTATGTCTCTGAAATCTGTGACTGAGGGTTCACTTGCGCAACGTAAGGCGAATATGACACCACAAATACGTAAGCTAATTAGAGAAGTGAAATTGTTGTTATTAAAATAAATATAATTTAAGCTGGCCGCCCCAAGGAACTTTTACCTACAGCTCAAGCTCGACAAGTAGCACCATCGACACAGAAACGAGTTTCGCGTACACCCATAATTATAATACCTTCCGCTAATACCAGCCTAATCACCATGTACAATGCCAAGGACCTTTTGCAAGACCTGAAATTTATCTCAACAGAAGAAAAGAAGCGTGCAGGTGGAGCACGAGACAACGAAGTCTTATTGCAGGTAGGTGGCCAAGACGAAAATGTGAAAATAAACTCGCTAATAGCGTATTATACATTTATTATATTTTTCCAACTTAAGCGCAAACGAAACAATCAAACTGTACCATATCGCGTTATTGATAACCCGCAAAAGCTTTCGGCCCAAGATTGGCAACGTGTCGTAGCAGTGTTCGTAATGGGACCAGCTTGGCAGTTTAAAGGTTGGCCTTGGGATGGAAATCCTGTGGAAATATTCTCCAAAAGTAAGTAGTTTAATGCAAATATAAATTTATAACGTTTACTCTAACAATATTCGTCTTCTTGCAGTTTGTGCTTTTCATTTACGCTTCAGCGAACTAAAACTGGATACCAACGTTTCGAAGTGGTCGGTGACATTGCTGAATCTTTCGCAAAATAAGCGACATTTAGATCGTGCTGTTTTAATGACGTTTTGGGAAACTTTGGATAAGTATGATGAAATTAAACAAAACAATATTAATCATTCTATTTTATTAATGGCAATAATTTTATTTTTAAAGATACATGGCTAAAAATAAGCCGGATCTTAGATTTTGAATCTTCTGTAAAATATCTACCCGCATATGCAGCGTAAATTCCTCTTCCACTACACAATACAATTTCTTTTGTGGAAGGAAGTGTAAGACTTGCTTTTTTTGGTGTCTTTAATAAAACAGAAAAAAATATATATTAGCTAGTAGTGAAATTATTTTAAAATAACCTCGAAAATGTTATGTATTATATCTTCGGCTACTTGGAAACAACACTACTGCTCATGGCCACCTTTCAGTGCACAGCGTGCCGACATGATTAAATTGTTAACAGCTCACATCGTTCGAATATATGTACATATACATATATTTGAATTGAAAAGTCATCGAAGACAAACATTTTTGACTTAAAAGAAGACAAGAAACCTAGTTTGCGAAATGCGTAGTGTTTGCGTCTGTTTAATGCAAACCAAATATTAAATTGTTTATTGTAGCTATTTAAAGAAGAGTTGAACAATTAAAATACCAATAGTTTTATAAACAAACAAGGACTTTTATTTTAAAATTTCGACACTAATTTAAAAATAATAAAGTAGACGATATATACATATAATCAAAGCGTTTCCGATTTATGGAATGCCAAAATATTGTGCAACATTAATACAATTTATTTATTTTAGCAACAAACACTTTTAATTATAAGCTCAAGTGACCATTGCAGCAATTAAATACAAAGATAATAAGAATACTTAGAAAATATTATTCAACATAAACAAGCCGTAACACTTACTTATCTTCCATTTCTTTTACACCGCTCCAATTTGCAATATCGGTAAGAACAAATGAAAAGCCTTGTCTATTTGTTGTAATGCCACCAACATTTCAGCGAACAATGTGCTGACGCGCGCTTTTATTATGTCATCTGCTTCTGTCTGCGCGTCTAGCTGAATGCCCGTCAATGTAGCGGCAAATCGATTTGTCAGACCATTCAAATGCGTAGTGAATTGCTTGCACAATTGTACAATACAATCAACTTCATTGGCGGTACTATGATGTTCTTTCACCAACAATAACTCGGCGATTTTGTGTAATTTATTTATTTGCAAGGCACAAGCTTCAGCTAACAATGTAATAGCTTTGGCAAAAAAATCCTGTACGGTGTCATGTGTACCATTCACTGGTGCTGATTTAAACCAATCCAACGCTTGTCTCCAATTGCTGTAATTAACATAAAAGTACGATTTATGCAAGTTAAGACATAAGGAAATTCATATCATTCATGTACCTTATTATATCATCGAAATTTATTTGCAATTCTGCATCTTCAATGGCGCTAATTAGATGTGCATTTAATTCTTCGGCATCGTAATCTCCATCACTTTCGCCCTCTAAATCCTCCAATTCCATCAGTTCTTTAACTTCAGTGATAGTCTCTTGCAATTCTTTAAGTGCATTGCCACTGACTGCATCCTGCAGCTTTTGCAATTTAAGCAATGATTCTTTAGAGAGTATTTCCAGTGCTTCCAGGTGTACAAGACCGCAATTGTTCTCGAAAAGTAAATCGAACCGAAGCATTTCGCGTGATTTTTCTAATTTCATTTGTTTCAAAGCATTTTCTAAGTGATCAGCGTCTTTTTTAGCTTCCTTAAGCACCTGTTATAGATAAAGATATTTTTTATTTTTGTATTTAAAAACTATTTGCAGACCACAAAAGATTAGTTACACAAACCTCACTCAGATTTGGTTTATCATGTTCCAAACCAAGTAATTTTCTCTTATTCATTAATAGTGGATCATTTTCTTGTAATATATTCATGGTTTTTTTTCCAATTCCTTCAAGTGTATCCAAACCTGTATTGAGTACCTTCGTCCCAATAGTCGTCACTCCACTAACTATATTCAATCCGAAAACAGGCGTTCCTCCTTGTTGTTCCTGAACTCTATGTTGCTGGTTATCGTTTATACCTTTTTGCTCGTCATTTTTATCTACGCCAGAAGGCTTTTTTAATTCACTCTGTAGCTTTGTTGTTTCGGCAGCTTGCATTCGTGCTAGTTCTTCTGGATCGGGTACGCCAATTACTTGATTAAGTCCTTGACTGACTGTTGATGTGATATTGCCAAGACCTTCAGTTGCAGTTGAAAGTACGGATGAAACTACGCCTCCAAACAGCCCACCCCATCCAGAGGTTGGCTTTTGCATTGTAGTGGTAATTGTATTTTCCGTTTTTCTTACGTCCGTTAATATCCCTTTGTTCTTGTTAAAATCTTGTGCAGTTTCTTCAGCTGTTTCCGTTGTGGTGTGTAAGGAATTATTATTTTCTACATTTATTTTGCCCTTTGCATCATTGTCCTCCAATAATTTGGAATCAGGCGGATCCTCAAAATTATCTTCGGCATCACCCCAATCATCCCAGTTATCATCATCATTTTGATCCCAGTCGTTTTTCTCAGAGGCCGTACTGTTTATATTTTTTGCATCAATTTTGGTAGACATTCTATCACTAATAGGATGATTTTTGGACTAGAATTCTTTAGCCAATTCTCAGATTGTTCACAATTTTTATTTACGTGTCGTTAATTAGGATAATAATAGTGATGTAGATAACAGTTAATTGAAAATATACTTTATCGATACTTTTCTTTAGTAAAACGATAATTAGAAAATCAAGCCCCAATTTCGCTTATGTGTTTTTGTACAATTTAATAAATGTTAAAAAAAATGAATTTCGCAAATTTCGTCCCTTTTATTTATTTATTAATTTTCTGTTTAAGATCTTGTGTTCAACAACCACCGATCAATTTTTAGTTCAATCGACTCTTTTCTTTTGAGAAACATTTAATTTTAGTTGTGTTTGATATGGCAATAATACGATTTTTTTGATTCTCACTCAAAATATTTCAATCACTCCATGCAATTTGAATCAAAATAAATGAAAATATTGGAATTTCTATCTGATTTTTCCACTTTTATTTCTTCATCAAAATTCTTCTTCAACACATTTTTGGCTTGTCTTTCTAATCTTTTTAATTTTGGAAGAAGACCCGAACACAACTCAATAAACCAAATATTACAGAAAAATAAGTTGCAGTTTTTGACGCGAGTATATTTTAAATATATTTAGTTTAAAGTTGATAAAAAAATATTTTTACGGTGTTGAACATATTAATATCATTGTACTAAAATCATTTGTAAGTTTCGTGTTAATGAATATATTAGGAAAACAGTTACTAGCAAAGATTAATATAAACAAAAGTGATATTTGATATTCGATAGTTAAATTAGAAACAAAAAATATTTATTTTGGAATTACGAATTTTTATATTTTTGCTTGCATTTGGAATTAGGTTCCACAGAAGCATCCCTGCTTTGCACATTTCATCGTTTCAATAGTTTAAGCAATCGGCTGAGTTCGGCCATTTTTCTTTTTCTTTTACTGAACGAGTGAAGTAGACGTTCGACGCGTTTCACGTTCGTGTGCAGAAAAATTGTGAAAACTTAGTACAAGTTTTTCTAAATTACTAATAGTTGGTGATATTCAACTAGAAAAAACTATTTCCTTAATAAAAGTGTTAAATATAATCAGCGAAAATAACTACTTGAAATTTCATTAGTCTTTGAAGTAACTGATGAGATAGTTAAAAAGAATATACATCCACAGACAAAAAAAAAATAATTTTCATTTAACTGAGACTCTTAAGAGATAGAGAAAAGACAATTTAGTATTTTATTTGTTCTCGATTTCTATATACAATAGAAGCAGTGTAAGCAAGTGAGCACGTATTCGAGATTTTCCTAAACGGAAAGAAAGAAAAAACCAGCAACTGATTGGAGGGTAATATGAGTAATGCTATTAACCAAAATGGCACAGGTCTAGAGCAGCAGGTAAGTTGCGTGCATATAATTAATTACTATACTACTACTAAAACCAATAATACTGCGAGTGGAGTGGTTTATAAATTTTAATGAAGATATTTAATTGTTTATTATTAAAAAAATTATTGATTTCATAACATTGTGCATGCACACATGCTGTTCTTTCTTTTTCTCAGTCGCGGTCGTTAGCGCTGTATTTCCCACTCGTTTCAACCCCTTCGTGTTGCGCTCGTGCAATTTCATCGTTTTCGTTTTGCATTGTACTTATCTGTTCCTTATTTTAATTGGTTGGTACCTTTTTTTTTTGTATTTTTTTTCTATATGCCATGTCAACCATTATATTTCTTATCTTTTATATTACTTTCATTATTGTAAAACCTAAAAGAGTTTTCACTTCGTTCCGGTTGCTGGATTTGTGCTATTCCATTTCGTTTCGTTCGGGTTTATTTGAGCCGAGTTAAATTTCACTGACTTAATGTCTTTCCGGGCAATTGTTGCTTTGCGCTTGCATTGTGTATTTTCGGGCCTTGTAATTTTTGAAATGGAGAGGTAGTGGGTGATTCTTCATCTTGTATATTATTTATTTCTGGCTTAAAAATTATAACCATCTAGTAAAAAGTAATGTCAATTTACCCACAAGATATATGTATGTTAACCACATGCGAGACAATTGGTATTATTCGATTTATATTGCAAAAACTTTTGTACGCCTGCCATCATTACCGATAAAAACTACCATACTTTATGTAATAAAGTTTGTTTTTAAGGTTTGTATTGCATATTAATCTTACTGTTCTTTACGTACTGTATAATCGAATTAATTAGTAATAAAATTTTTTACAATTCGGTTCTTAAATAAATAATTTTGATCTCAAATTTAACATATATTTTCACACAATCTTTGATCAAATGAATACTTTTTTTTTTGTTTTTAAATACATTTTTTTTATTCAATTAGCACGGACTAATTCCTTTTGTATGAGTGGATTATATATGACGGTATTGAAAACAGAAAAATATGATGTTCTTTGACTTTTGCTTCGACTTTTTCATTCGCACGAAGCAAAGATGAACTCGCGCATTGTTGCCGGGCGACTTTGGCCCTGTTAGCATCATTGTCAACGTCATTATCGGTGTCATATATGGCTGTGAATTTTTTGCTTTGCATATCTCAACTATACCATTGTACACACTACAAAAGAACTCTTATGATCGAGACTTGGATTTTTGCTACCTAGTTTCAGTTTTGTAGGTTTTTTATAAACCTAATAATATTTACATATCCAGTATTATAGCTAAAAGTATCTAGATGTAGACTACATCTATAAATGTGTTCAAAAAATTGATTCTGGTTTTTACGGATTTCATTAGCATTTCAATACGTAGGTTATATGTGTATTTATTCGCTAATTACTAAGCTTTTCGCGCGCAATAAATATCACGACACAAATCCATGTTAAGGCAATAGGAATAGCTGCAAAAAAAATGAACGTAGTTTGGGTTAAGTGACATATATATTTATATGATCGTCAAATAATATTTTTGAGTGTTCTAGTCTAGACGAACAGATTACTTCGCTCCCTTCTTACTATAGTATTTACGTCTATGAATGAATTACTCAACAAATGTCTAATTCATGAATGACGTTATAAATAATGACGTGGTAAATCGGTTTATTAATATGCCATCGTGTCCATTATTATTATTTCTTATAGCTATTAAGCCCAGAGTTGATATTAATTTGTCACTGTATTTGTGTGGAAGACGATGTTTTATCACCGAAGCGTGGGACGTTATTCTAAAGCCGACCCATTATTTATAACGTCATTCATGAATTAGACATTTGTTGAGTAATTCATTCATGACGTAAATACTATAGTAAGAAAGGGATCTGTTCGTCTAGACTAGAACACTCAAAAATATTATTTGACGATCATATAAATATATGTAGATACATTTGACGAGATCACTTAACCCAAACTACGTTCATTTTTTTGCAGCTATTCCTATTGCCTTAACATGGATTTGTGTCGTGATATTTATTGCGCGCGAAAGCTTAGTAATTAGCGAATAATACACATATAACCTACGTATTGAAATGCTAATGAAATCGTAAAACCAGAATCATTTTTTGAACACATTTATAGATGTAGTCTACATCTAGATACTTTTAGCTATAATACTGGATATGTAATATTATTAGGTTTAAAAAACCTACAAAACTGAAACTAGTAGCAAAATCCAGTCTCGATCATAGAGTTCTTTTGTAGTGTGTACAATGGTATAGTTGAGATTGCAAAGCAAAAATTCACAGCCATATATGACACCGATAATGACGTTGACAATGATGCTAACAGGGCCAAAGTCGCCGGCAACAATGCGCGAGTTCATCTTTGCTTCGTGCGAATGAAAAGTCGAAGCAAAGTCAAAGAACATCATATTTTCTGTTTTCAATACCGTCATATATAATCCACTCATACAAAAGGAATTAGTCCGTGCTAATTGAATAAAAAAATGTATTTAAAAACAAAAAAGTATTCATTTGATCAAAGATTGTGTGAAAATATATGTTAAATTTGTAGATCAAATTATTTATTTAAGAACTGAATTGTAAAAATTTTATTATAATTAATTCGATTATACAGTACGTAAAGAACAGTAAGTTAATATGCAATACAAACCTTAAAACAAACTTTATTACATAAGTATGGTAGTTTTTATCGGTAATGATGGCAGGCGTACAAAAGTTTTTGCAATATAAATCGAATAATACCAATTGTCTCGCATGTGGTTAACATACATATATCTTGTGGGTAAATTGACATTACTTTTACTAGATGGTTATAATTTTAAGCCAGAAATAAATAATATACAAGATGAAGAATCACCCACTACCTCTCCATTTCAAAATTACAAGGCCGAAAATACACAATGCAAGCGCAAAGCAACAATTGCCCGGAAAGACATTAAGTCAGTGAAATTTAACTCGGCTCAAATAAACCGAACGAAACGAATGGAATAGCACAAATCCAGCAACCGGAACAAAGTGAAAACTCTTTTAGGTTTTACAATAATGAAAGTAAATAAAAGATAAGAAATATAATGGTTGACATGGCATATAGAAAAATACAAAAAAGTACCAACCAATTAAATAAGGAACAGATAAGTCAATGCAAAACGAACGATGAAATTGCACGAGCGCAACACGAAGGGGTTGAAACGAGTGGAAATACAGCGCTAACGACCGCGACTGAGAAAAGAAAGAACAGCATGTGCATGCACAATGTTATGAAATCAATAATTTTTAATAATAAACAATTAAATATCTTCATTAAAATTTATAAACCACTCCACTCGCAGTATTATTGGTTTAGTATGTATAGTAATTAATTATATGCACGCAACTTACCTGCTGCTCTAGACCTGTGCCATTTTGGTTAATAGCATTACTCATATTACCCTCCAATCAGTTGCTGGTTTTTCTTTCTTTCCGTTTAGGAAAATCTCGAATACGTGCTCACTTGCTTACACTGCTTCTATTGTATATAGAATCGAGAACAAATAAAATACTAAATTGTCTTTTCTCTATCTCTTAAGAGTCTCAGTTAAATGAAAATATTTTTTTTTGTCTGTGGATGTATATTTTTTTAACTATCTCATCAGTTACTTCAAAGACTAATGAAATTTCAAGTAGTTATTTTCGCTGATTATATTTAACACTTTTATTAAGGAAATAGTTTTTCTAGTTGAATATCACCAACTATTAGTATTTAGAAAAACTTGTACTAAGTTTTCACATTTTTTCTGCACCGAACGTGAAACGCGTCGAACGTCTACTTCACTCGTTCAGTAAAAGAAAAGAAAAATGGCCGAACTCAGCCGATTGCTTAAACTATTGAAACGATGAAATGTGCAAAGCAGGGATCTTCTGTGGAACCTAATTCCAAATGCAGGCAAAAATAAAAAATTCGTAATTCCAAAATAATATTTTTTGTTTCTAATTTAACTATCGAATATCAAATATCATTTTGTTTATATTAATCTTTGCTAGTAACTGTTTTCCTAATATATTCATTAACACGAAACTTACAAATGATTTTAGTACAATGATATTAATATGTTCAACACCGTAAAAATATTTTTTATCAACTTTAAACTAAATATATTTAATATACTCGGTCAAAAATGCAACTTATTTTTCTGTATATTTGTTTATTGAGTTGTGTTCGGGTCTTCTTCCAAAATTAAAAGATTAAAGACAACCAAAAATGTGTTGAAGAAGATTTGATGAAGAATAAAAGTGGAAAAATCAGTAGAAATTCCAATATTTTCATTTATTTTGATTCAAATTGCATGGAGTGATTGAAATATTTTAGTGAGAATCAAAAATCGTATTATTGCCATATCAAACACAACTAAAATTAAATGTTTCTCAAAGAAAGAGTCGATTGAACTAAAATTGATCGGTGGTTGTTGAACACAAGATCTTAAACAGAAAATTAATAAATAAATAAAGGACGAAATTTGCGAAATTCATTTTTAACATTTATTAAATTGTAAAACACATAAGCGAAATTGGGCTTGATTTTCTAATTATCGTTTTACTAAAGAAAAGTATCGATAAAGTATATTTTCAATTAACTGTTTATCATCACTATTATTATCTAATTAACGACACGTAAATAAAATTGTGAACAATCTGAGAATTGGCTAAAGAATTCTAGTCCAAAAATCATCCTATTAGTGATAGAATGTCTACCAAAATTGATGCAAAAATATAAACAGTACGGCCTCTGAGAAAACGACTGGGATCAAAATGATGATGATAACTGGGATGATTGGGGTGATGCCGAAGATAATTTTGAGGATCGCCTGATTCCAAATTATTGGAGGACAATGATGCAAAGGGAAAAATAAATGTAGAAAATAATAATTCCTTACACACCACAACGAACAGCTGAAGAACTGCACAAGATTTTAACAAGAACAAGGGATATTAACGGACGTAAGAAAACGGAAAATACAATTACACTACAATGCAAAAGCCAACCTCTGGATGGGTGGGCTGTTTGAGGCGTAGTTTCATCCGTACTTTCAACTGCAACTGAAGGTCTTGGCAATATCACATCAACAGTCAGTCAAGGACTTAATCAAGTATTGGCGTACCGATCCAGAAGAACTAGCACGAATGCAAGCTGCCGAAACAACAAAGCTACAGAGTGAATAAAGCCTTCTGGCGTAGATAAAAATGACGAGCAAAAAGGTATAAACGATAACCAGCAACATAGAGTTCAGGAACAACAAGGAGGAAGCCTGTTTTCGATTGAATATAGTATAGTGGAGTGACGATCTATTGGG